ATCAGCCGATGGTCCCGGGCCCAAGGATCTGAAGTCCCTGGAAGTCGAGTAGAGCCCTGAGGACCGGAGCATCCACAAGCTTGTAAGCAGCGTGTGCGTGCTCCCAAAACCCGATATGGTCCTCTGCTCCCGCCATATCTGCCCCTCCCACTGACCGTACCTATCACACCACCCTCTGTTAACCCCCCAGTCTCCTCCCCCACCATTCCACGCCCCCCAGACAGGACTGGCCTTGGCCTCAGAGAGGGCTCCCCTAAGTCCCCTCGGGCCAACCCCGAACCCCCTAAAAATTTAATAAAACACCCCTCTAAGAAGACACGCAATTTTCTTCTCCTTAGTTCCCTAGTTGCTGTTGCTGTGTGCCACCTCTCGGGGTTCCACACCCCTTCATCAAGGCAGGCCCTTGATATCGTATTGGGCCATGCCTGCGCGATGGGGGAGTCGCGCAGGGCCAGCAGTTCCTTCCTGGAATACAGTCCTAGTTCACATCAGGAGGTCCAGCAGCAGAGTAGGGGAGGGGGGAAAGTCCTCGTGATGGTAATCCTAGTCAGGGGCTTAGATGGATAACAAGAAAGCAGCACAGTTTATTGTTCTTCTTAACCCCCATGGGGGGGGGAAATTGCAGTCAGAGTCAGCCAGGCCCCAACCGCGCAAGCCTCCAGGTCCACGCCAGACCCCAGTCGCACAAGCCACCAGGTCCACTCCAGGCACTCACCGCCAAGCCCTGGGTCCTCCATCAGGCCGTGTCCCTCAGGCAGACCCCTCCTTTGGGCCGCGGCCCCCGCCCGGGCCGCCAGACCCGACCGCCAGGCCACATCCTTCGCCTGGGCTACCAGGCCGGACCGCCAGGCCGTCGGGCTGACTCCCCGCCGAATCGCGTCTCTCGCTGGGCCTTGTCCTTCACCCGGGCCACTATACCGCCCGGGCCGCTGTGCCGCTGAGCCAGTGTGTCCTCCGGGCCGTTGTACCATTGTGCTGCTGGGCCGCATCCCCCTGGGCCGCTGGGTCGCTGGGCCGTTGGGTCACTGGGCCGCTAAATCGCTAGGCCGTCAGGCCGTCAGGCCGCCAGGCCGCTAGGCCGCAAATTTCCACCGCGTTGAGGTCTCTCCGAGCCGGGGCCTCCACCCACGGCTCCGCCCGTGGCTCCGCCCAGCCACAGCCAGGTGGTCACGCAGCCCGTTGCCAGCCTTCTTCGCTCACCAGCCTTCTCCTCTCACCAAACTCAAGGCCGGCGAACACCCCCGACCCTCCAGAGGCTCCCCATCTCTGCCCGAGGACCCCGCGGAGCTACGGAGCCAAAACCGGTAGGTCCGCCATCAGCAAGTCAGCATAAACCCTTTAATTTAATAGCTGGAACATTAAACAATAAAGTGATCTTTTATTTCTATTTTTTCTTGGATAAGCACACAACAGGGTGGAGATATGAGAACATTAATAAAAACTGATTGGTAAGACTGGTCGGCCAGATGTTACTTGGAATATGTTTGTTCCACCAGTTGCTGAGCTTTTCTTAGGTTTCTTAGGATTTGGGGAATGAAAACAGATGACCACTTTTCCCAGGACAGGTTTCAAGGCAATGATCCAGATTTTAGGAGCACATCCTGACCATCTTACAACAGAATCTTTATGGGCAAAAGGCTCACAGAACATTTAAGTCACCAGAGCAGCCACAGAGTGATGCAAGCCCTAATACAAAACCTTTCTGCTTTGACCACCCATTATACCTGCACAAAGGTTTGATACAGAACAGGAAGAATGGAAAGTAATAGTCTCAGAAATAATTAAGTTGTCTTAAGAGTGTCTTGGTTTTCTTTCATTCATTAGAGTTAGGTGTGGAGAAATGGACTGTGTTAGTATAAAGAGGACAATATGGAGAAGGAGGCATTGGGTCCATATGTGCAAACTTCTTGGGATAGGAGAGAATGGGGATTATTCTAGTGAGGAAGGAACAAACACTGAAAAACACAGACAGTTCTGAAAAACCCATCCTCATACAAGCCAGTCAAAACTGCTTTCTTTGCATGTTTCCTCCTCTTCAATTCCAGCCCACCTTAAGGAAAAGGATTTGTCCATGTCTGATGACCAGATAGGGACATTTGGTACAAAAAGGAACAAAACTAGCAAACCCCAACAATTTTATGCAATTTGTCTGCATTTAATCACTTGCAGGCTTCATTCCTCAGCAGAAAAGGCTCATCTGTTGGAACAGCACAAATTATGCTGGAAGAGAAGAAATTTGTGTGGTAATGATGAGAAAAGCTCTGGAAGTCAATAAGTCAATAAGAAAAACAATTTGCTGTACTTCCTTCCATTGCTTCCCCTCAGAACAAAAGGATGATTGAGAAGTTAACTGGAGATTAAGCTGATCTCCCCATTATGTTGAATTACAACTCTCCACAACCCTTGTCAGCAGGGGTGACTGTAAGGGAGGGTGGGATTAAGAAAGGCAGGATGGTAGCAGTGCCTGCACTGAAGCATGTGATATGAGCATCGTCTTTACTGTTTTCACACTAACACCATGTGTTGTGTACACCCCTGCCAGCCACCATGCTCTCTAAGATGGATTTTGAGTCTCACCAAGGCCTCACCTGGGAGATTTCATGTCGTCCACTATGATTAAGATTTAGAATAACAGGATGAATATCCCCCAAATGAAGCAGCTCTGTTGTTCATCTTAGCAAATGGAGTAAGGTAGAATTAGGCATGCTGGCTTAAAGAAATGGCTGAGCCACCATTTTATTTATTTTTATTATTTATTTACTTATTTATACCACCCATCACCTATCTAAAGTGTCTCTGGTTTTGCTCCTGCTTCTTCATTATCCCAAGAGAAGGTCAAAATCAGAAGTTCAAATTTCATCTCAGCTTTTTATATATACTTATTTCTGCTTTCCCACCTCAGACAATTTTCAAAAAACTCTATAAACCGGAATAAAACAATAGCTAATAATATTTCACATAAATAGTAGAAGTACTAAATACTATACATGTTCAAGTATCAATAGGAATCATCAAATGGTTTCTCAAAATTGTAAGAAAACAGAAATTTTGATTTGGAAACCGAGGGGGAGAAAGAGAAAGGGAGCCCATTTTTTGTAGCATCACAGGAAAAAGATGGTCCTGACTTTACATCTAATGGAAAAGCTCCTGGAGGAAGGTCCCCACCAGTCTTTACTTCTTCAAATGAATAAGGGCAGGCAGTCATGAGAACTCAATGAACCACTGTCAAGAAATGAAAAAAGACTCATTAAAGAAATTCAGATTAGAAAGTGCTTCATAATGATTGCTGATCATTACACAAAGTTGGATCTTGCAAAGTGTAATTATTTCTAACTCCAAATTAGAGTGGTGGTATCCCACTGGAACGACCTGGGTGGGTGTATGACAGGTGCAGTCAAATAGGGTACCTAGAGAGATGGGAACAGTAGGCAAGTCAAAAGAATAATTGAATGCTTATCAGCTCCTTTGTCAATGTTCCCACCTACTTAAAGCAAAACACTCTTTGTGTCACTTCCCTTTTCCTACTTTTGCAATCAGTCAACACAAAGTGAGACTTCCCAAGAGGTCCACCAAAACAACTTTCCACTCAGCCCTCTGCTTGTCTCCCATTCATAAATGGTGATACACAGAGGTGATCAAATCTTGATGTCTCTGCTAAAGAAGGGGAACAGAGAGGTGATCAATTCACTATTGGAAATATCCCATTCTCTCCATAATTAAAAGTCACCCTTTCTTACCAAGTTTATGTACTTCTGTTGCTATCTGAGCGTCTCCCAGTCCTCATTCATGGAGATAAGCTTCCTGCCAGTCCTGCCCATATTCCTTCAAGCTGCTGCAGAAAGACAAAGGAGAAAGGGATCAATGGCAGTGAGAACATCTTCCCCAGGCAATCTCTTCTGTGATCTTTCCGGCTTCAATCTCTTCTGGATATGCCAGTGCCCAAAAGGAGCCTCCCTCAGCCATGAACTTACTGCAATACATCTGCAAAAGCTGTGAGGATGGGCTTGCACACATAGTGAATACCATGCTTGGCACACAGCGATTTCACCAGAGGAGCCACCTTGTAATAATTGTGTCGAGGCATGGTGGGGAAAAGGCTGCAAGAAGAGAAGAGAAGAGGGTGTCAGGTGACTATCCCAGAACTTTTGGTAGCTTCATAACATGGCAGCCCTGCTTAACATCGGCAATGTGTGATGTATGACATTTCTACGGTCTGGCCTCTGCTCTGGCTCATACTCACTGATGCTCAATCTGGAAGTTCAGATGCCCAGTGAACCAGTCATTGAACCAGGAATGATCAACATTGCATGTTCCTGTGAGCTAAGGGAGAAAGAGACAGTGGGTGAAGCTCTCCAATCGGCCCTTTTCTTTCCAGCCGCTGCTGCTTCCTATCATAGAGAGGCTCTGTAACAAGTAACTCTTATTCTTGGCTCATGAGTTTGGGATTCTGTTTGGTTTCTCTTCGTTCATTCTGGGTTTTCTAAACATTTGAATGTAAACACTCAACTCAGGCCAGCTCTAATAGACAATGTACATTGTACAGTAACCTTGTGCCTAAGAGACTGGCACTGCACAATCCGAGGGTCCAAGAACCATTGTTATTCAATTTGATAGGAGAAAACAAGAAAAGGAGAAAAGGAAGAGAACATTTTAAAATATAAGACTGGAAAGTAGGCATTTATCTTTAGCTTTAAGTACAGTAAACAGAAATGAAAGTGACAGCCAATTTGGGGTAGTGCTTAAGGCATCAGACTAGAAACTGGAAGATTGTGAGTTCTAGTCCTGCTTTAGGCACAAAACCAGCTGGATGATCTTGGGCCTGACATTCTCTCTCAGCCCTAGGAAGCAGGCAAGAGCAAATTACTTCAAAAATACCTTATCAAGAAAATTGTAGGGACTTATCCAAGCAGTTGCCAGGAGTCAAAAATGACACAAAGGCACATACACACACACAAATGGAATGAAATAAGTTGTAGCTTTTATCCTGATTCCTCCTTACAGTTTTTGAGATGGCATGTCCAGTACAACATTCAGAGGCCAAGTGTGAATATCAGCACATGTAAAAATATTATTGACAACTGTACTCTCCATTTCCACCTAAGAGCCTGTTGACCACTAGGGCCAACAGTTAGATAAGGAGAAGGTGTCTGTTTCTCATGTGGCCTATGGTTAATTAAAGAAGGATGTTTCCTGTTCCTCTCTCCTTCTCTCTCTAGCCTCCCTCTCTTCAAGGTGTAGTTCAGATAGAAGTCAGGCTTCCTTTTCCATAAATTGAACTTTGAACTGTTTGCATTCATTGATAGCTGGGCTGAGGTTATACGCTGCATCCAAGACAATGATACTGTGAAAAATTTCTAACTAGAGCTGTCTGCTGCTTATTACTCTGCATATGCTCAGCGCATCCTTTAATATGGATCTTGCTCAACTCAAACATCTATAATGTGAACCCCTTCTATATATACCTATCTGCCAATCCATACAAAAACTTAAGTTCTTGTTTTTTCCCAAAGGTTATAATGGCTAAAGTACTTTAGTGGTAGTCATGAAAGCCCTCTGTTCCAAGTCCATGAACCCCAAAGCATTAATGGGTTAAGTGAAAGAAAGATGGTGCTTCTGAGCAGAAAATGGAAATATTCTTACCTGGCAAGAGACCCAGTCCAAATTCTGGTCGTAACTGATGTTCATTGGAATGTGATTCACTTGAGAGACCCAGATAAACCATGCGCTTTCTAGGAACCTGTGGAAAGAAGTAATTTTGAGAAATAAAATAATTAGAAAATTTTTACAATTTTGTTATCATTGTCTTTATCATTATTATAATTTTTATCATTGTCTTCTCTGACAAGCCTCTCTTGTCTTCCAAATTTATCTATTGACTTTTCCCTCACAAAGTCCACCACTTTTTTCAGGGTTTATCTTCCAGTGGAAGGCAAGTAGTTAAAAGTAAGTGAATAACTTATTTCATTTGTTACACAGGAAGGCATTTATTTAATTATACTTCAAATGTTCAAGGTTTTCCAATGCACACAGAACAATAATTCCCAGGGATATCAGCATCATGGGAATCCTGAGGTCAGAGAACATCACATTCCTTCATCAGTTATAATATATTATTATTATATTTCAATTCAAGATAGAGAACACACCCAATACTCCTTGCTCCTATTTTCCCCACAACTACCTTAGGAGTTGTGTTGGGCTGAGAGTTTATGACTGGTCCCAGGCAGCTTTCATGCCTAAGGCAGGCCTTGAACTTCTTTTTGTGTTCTAAGCCAAAACCTTCACCTGCCACAAACTGGCTCTTCGTTGATGTATTGTCTATGGATCACCATTTTGCTGGTGTGGAAAGGCGGGTTTTTAAAAAAGAAAGGAAGAATGTAAAGTCTCATCTAGGTCAGGGCTTTTCAACCTGTGATACATGTACCACCTGTGGTACTTTGCTATGTGGCAGGTGGTACGCAACCATCCTAGAGAAGTGTAGCGGGAGAGGGGAATGAGCTGAAGGGACCCAAGCCTGAGGGAGAGGCAGCTGCAGCTGCAGGACTGTATGGGCTCGGCAGAAGCCCCAGGAGCCTGCAGGGATCCAGCTGATTGGCGCTTTCGGAAGCAGTTCGGAGTTGGAGATGAACTGAAGAAAAAGTCAGGGGGAGGAGAGGAGAGGCTGTAAAAGGAGGTGGTTTGGGCAGGAAAGGGGAAAGAAAGACAACAGGGAAAAGTTTAATCCCTTTAAACAAATGTAATTAGTTTTACCCCTTTTAATTGAGTTTGTCTATGGCTTTTAGAAAGTTTTCTTTGGAGGTAAACAGGCTTAATTTAAAGCTAAAGTTTTTCGCAATTGCCAGAGCCTTTCAGTCTAGGATTGCAACATTGTGACATGTGACATGCCTGACCCAGCTTAAAGACCCCCCCCAGAGTTTATGTGTTTCTTTATTTTAATAATAATAATAATAATAATAATAATAATAATAATAATAATAATAATAATAATAATAATAATAAAGTTGGAAGGGACCTTGGAGGTCATCTAATCCAACCCCCTGCTCAGGCAGGAAAACCTATACTATTTTGGACAAATGGCTGTCCAGTTTCTTCTTAAAAACTTCCAGTGTTGGAGCATTCACCGCTTCTGGAGGCAGGTTGTTCCACTGGTTAATTGTTCTAACTGTCAGGAAGTTTCTCCTTAGTTTTAGGTTGCTTCTCTCTTTGGTTAGTTTCCACCCGTTGCTTCTTATCCTGCCTTCAGGCGCTTTGGAAAATAGCTTGACTCCCTCTTCTTTGTGGCAGCCCCTGAGATATTGGAACACTGCTATCATATCCCCCCTCGCCCTTCTCTTCATTAAACTAGACATACCCAATTCCAACAACCGTTCCTTATATGTTTTAGCCTCCTGTCCCCTAATCATCTTTGTTGCTCTTCTCTGTACTCTTTCTAAAGTCTCAACATCTTTTTTACATCGCGGTGACCAAAACTGGATGCAGTATTCCAAGTGTGGCCTTACCAAGGCATTGTAAAGTGGTATTAACACTTCACGTGATCTTGATTCTATCCCTCTGTTAATGCAGCCTAGCACTGTATTGGCTTTTTTGGCAGCTGG